ATGCTGTCTTCCTCACTCTGAAGCCCGGACGCATTTGTGCACACAAGAGCTGGGGTGCAGGCCACAGGTGGGGGTGAGGGGTGAGAGGAGCCGCCAGGGCAGAGCGGGAGCAGGACAGGCGGATGGACTGAAACCCACCGCCGAGGGGGCAGCGGGGACAGAGCAGGGGTCTGCTGCGCCTGGGCCCCTCCCTGGCCGGGTGGACCCGTGCTGCCGTGGCGGGGACAGCTGGCCAGCGCCACGGGGAGGCCCTGAAGTCCTGAGCAGTTCCGTTTGCCCGTCTTTTCACTACTCTGAACTGTAACTGTTTTGCTGGTAATTTTAATCTAAAGGCATTCTTTTTCATTTGTTTACTTCCCTACTGTTATCTTCTAAAATATTCCCTCAGACGCCTTCCCTCCAGTAAGCGTCCATTATGTGCTGTCACAGACACAAACTAATGAGCAGGAACATGCCCCCCCGCGGAGATCCTTGTATGCAGGGCTCCTCTCCAAGAACTTCTAAGAGGCTGTAGTTTCACGCTGGGGATTCCTTTTGGCTCCAGATGAGCTGGAAGAACAGAACCGTGTACCTCGGGAATCTCTGGGTCAGCGTGTGCAATTCTGCGGGCTACTGCCGGGCCGGGCCCCGCCCGACTGCTGTGTCATCGCCCGCCCGTCAGTGCTGCGGAGTCCGCAGCGAGCGCGTGGGAGCTGAGTGCCGGGAGGGTATTTCCCGCTCACCATCTCAGTTTCGAACATTTGCTGTACTTTGATTGGCGATGATAAACGGTCACACACCGAGACTCCACCTTCTTCATCGACAACGTCTTACGACCGCATCGATTTATGCGACTCACCGCAAGGCCGAGGGGTCGGCCTCAGCCCAGCGCTGGGGTGCAGGTAGCTGGGAGGCCTGGGGGCCACGCGGTGTGGCTGACCCCCCCGGTTAATCTCTTCTGATAGTGCCTGAGTGGAGTCACGGGCCGGGCACGGGCGGACACCTGGCTAGGCCGGAAGGCTCGCCAAGAGGCTCCAGGCTTCTTGCCAACGACTCCCGGGGCTACTGCCCACCAACAGCCCTTTCCCTCGCCCCAGAAACACGCCTCAGAAACCCAGCCATCAACGCGCACCAACAGGGCACAGAAGCCGGACTGGAGCCTGGAGCCACAGGTCCTCTGAAGGCCCCAGTGAGCAGTCACCAAGAGGAGAGGAAATATGCAAGAGCCCCACTGACCACCGTCGCCCCCGGCGCTCAGCCTCGAGGCCCCTTCCCTCAGCATAACCCGAGGCGACCACCGGCCTAGCCTCCATCTGCACGCCCATCACGGATGGAAACAGAGTACCCAGAACACAGTCCCGTCAACAGAAGTGAAGTGGACAGCAGCGGCGGAAAGGGCCTCGCGGGCAGGGGCAGGACGCAGGTCTTCCCGCTCCAGGGCGGCCAAGGGGCAGGTGCCCACGCCACGCCACGCCCGACCCCATGGGTCAGTCAGCACCAGCGAGACCCGAGCAGACAGGGCCCACGGCTCCTCACAGGCCACCTCCGGGCCGTGACCGAGCCCCACGCGAGCGTCGCGAGCCGGCCGGGCCGTGCCCACCTTCTCCCAGCTGAGGAAGGCGCGCAGACAGTTCAGGACCTCGCCGTCGGCACGCCGCCTGGCGACCAGCTGCATGGCCGTGTTGACCACCGACTGGGAGTCGAAGACGTCCTGCCACATGTTCGCGATGAACAAGGTCAGCTTCTCGGACTCCGGGACACCTGCGACAGAAAACCGGGCGACAGACCTTGATGTGCGGCCGAGCCCACAAATTCCACCAAGGACAAGCTGGCACGAGCGCCAAGGTGCCGGCAAGGCTGCCAGGGCAGAAGGGGGCCGGGGAGGCCGGCCTCAGGCACCTCAGAGTCTACTTCTCCGCCGCTGCCGCCCGCCGGGTCTCTCCAGCAGCCCCTTGGGCCAGGAGAAGCCTCAACAGGCAGCTGTGCGGCGCAGGCTGCTCCCTGGCCAGCCCGCAGGGCGC